TAGAGCAAAAAGAGGTGAAGCTACCCATAGTCACAGCTTAGCAGAAAGGGTATATTACTGATTTATACTATCCATCTTCCTCATACAAGTCGTTTTACGGATTGATATTTCAGGTGAAATGAAAAGTCCAATACTGAAACCATTTTTCATATTTCAGGTGAGAAGGGAGAAAATCAACAACAAATTAAAATGCTTACAAAGCCTTGTTCCAGGTTGCCACAAGGTAATTTCTTTTCCTGGTCCTGTTTACCAAAACATTGAAGTCTCAAGTTCAAATCAAACTTCCATGTTATTCTGCAGACAATGGGTATGACAATGGTGTTGGATGAGACAATCACTTATGTTCATTCACTACAGAATCAGGTTGAGGTGAGGAATATGGTGCACTTTTCATAAGTATTTGTAATGTTTTCATCAAATAGCACTGATCTATTCACTTTGTTCCTGAATTCAGTTTCTCTCAATGGAGCTTGCAACTGCCTGTTCCACTTTAGGCATAAATTCTGGCATGGGAGCTACCAGAACAGCTTCGGTAATCCAACAACTTCCTGAAAGAGTATTAACTTTTGACATTTTACTTTCTAAATTAAAAATAAAACATAAATTTACTGCAAGTATGGAATTGATATTGATGCATCCTATATTAATTAGTGTTGAAATATTGACGTTTAAGCTTAAAGCATAATATTGCAGGGGACAAGATCACATGAGGAACAGGAGGAAGAGAAATAAATAAGCAAATGATAAAGAGAGCACAGTTGGTTCCACTAGAGTAAGCCCTTTTGACTGTGGGGCATTTGTTATCTATTCTCATGAATCTGCTTCCTATATTCACTTTCTTTCTAGGCAAACATGATTGGTTTCTCATAAGTCCACAAAATGCTGTAAGCAAAACTACCAGACAGTGATGTATCAATTCTACATCTGCTGCAAATTGCAATCAAATACCTAATACTGTCTATAACAGTTTCTTTGTGGGATTTTGTTATCTTGTCTGTAAATCATGTCTACTTGTTCAAAAAACCTGATGAAATAACGGAGATCCTTGCAAGACTGTGATTCTTTCAACATTGCACAGTTACAGTTATCTCTTGTTCTAAGCCAAATAGCTTAAGGCTCTTTGAAGTTCAAATGAAAGATATAGCAAATGCTCCAAACATCTCACGATAACACACACTCAATCTAGATGAATACAAATAACAAAAGAGAGAAAAGCATCTTAGACATTGCATACAAATAACAGAAGAGAGAAAAGCATCTTAGACATTGCAGATTTCATGAGAGACGTCTCCTATAGTATGTCCAAATCATAGGATCTGGACCAATTCCCGATACTCTCTAAAATCCAAAATCCCTCAAAGCGTAATACATTATGACACCTCCCAATGGCTCTTCTCCATCACGTAAGGAGGATAAGAAGTAGTGTTTAAAGGGCAACCACCAGCTAGGACGAACAGAGAAACAAATTATGGAATACCCCACATATTAATTGAACAAGAACAAAAGAAAACAGACAGAAATAATAAGGGGGCTAACCGAATTGGCCCTACGTACAAACGATAAGCAAAAGATCCCAAGGCCATGGCCGATTAAAGAGAATAAAACTGTGGGGAATAGTCATTGGGGCATTTCAGCGAATACCTTGCATACATGGAAGTGGGGTTTCGTGGGGCTTGCCATGGTTACATGTGACGAAGCAAATCAAACTCAAATAGTTTTTATGATTGAGCTAGAGCAGTGACATTAAAAAAAAAAAACTTTAAAAAATCAATGAAAAAAAAAAACTAGCCAAACTCGTTACAGTCTAAACTTACACCTCAAACACAGAGTTACACGAACTTCATTCATTCCAACCATACACTCCAAACGTGGACTTCAAGAACCCGAGTTTTCAATTTCGACCCATCAAATTCATGGATTTCAAAATTTCAAATTATCCTACCAACCAAATGACCTCGTATTATTGTCTCATTCACACGTGATGTGTGATTCAAGATCGGATGCAACAATATAAGTACTTCTTGCATGATCCTTTTTTCTCTTTCAATCCCTTTATTTTCCTGTCTTGTTTGAGGCACGCTCCAACGAACTAGGTTATTCTACCTGAAAATCAAGGAAGGGAACAATATCACGCAACCTCATCAAATAATAATTGCTTAAAATAATTATGAAAAACTTAAAATAGGCCATAAATGACAATAATAATTTTTAAATTAAATTACAATAATTATATAAATATTGATTTATTAAGATTTTTTACCATTTTTTTATTAAAGTTATACTGAAAAAATTAAAAAAAAAAAAAAAATACCTATTTTTTAAAAAAAGAACAATAAATTGGTAAAAAAAAATATCGGGTTCAATTTCCACATAATAAATAAATAGAAAATTTTAGAGAAATAATAAAATAGACAGCTGGATGGACACAGTAGACATGTCTAGGTCGCGGCGAATTGAGTTATTTGCAGGCGTTCTTTCGGAAATGTGGAGCTTTTTCAGGTCCACAATCTTTTGAACTCGTCAAGCACGTGATATAAAACAGACAAATACGTTTTAGAGAAAGCAGTCCGCAAAAAATTCCATGGCGGAAATGCATCCCTCCGTCAACGTCCTCCACCTCTGCACGGTGCCTCTGCCCCATGGCTCCCTCCTCCCCTTCTCTCTTCCGCTCACCTTCTTCGATATCCTCTGGCTCCGCTTCCCTCCAGTCCAACGCATCTTTTTCTACAAATCTTCCGCGCCCTTCGACGTCGTCGTTTCCACTCTAAAAAACTCCCTCTCTGCCGCTTTGCAACACTACCCTCCCCTCGCTGGCGCTGTCGTTTGGCCGGAAAACTCTCCCAAACCCGCCGTCCAGACCGTCCTCGGCGACGGCATTTTGTTAACCCTCGCCAAATCCGATTCCAAATTCTCCCATCTCGTCAGCGACGAGTTGCGCGAGGCGGCGGAGTTTCATACTCTGGTGCCGAGGCTTCCCGCGGCAGATGACCGGGCGGCAGTGATGGCGCTACAGGTGACTTCGTTTGGGACCGAGGGATTTTGCATCGGAATTACTTCCCATCACGCGATTCTGGACGGGAGGACGTCGACGTCGTTCGTGAAATTATGGGCTCGTCTCTGTAAAAATTTGGTTGCCGGCGGTGAGTCAGCGAAGCCGGGTAGTACGGCATCTGAAACGATGCCGTTTTATGACCGGAGCGTGATCGTCGACCCAAAGGGCCTCGAGGGCATTTTCTTGAGAGATTGGTTGGCCCATGGAGGGTCCGACAACAAAAGCTTGAAATTCTGGCCGCCGTCAATTCAACAGGATTTGTTCCGAGGTATTTTAAACTAAATAAATAATAATAAATAATTTTAAACTTTGAAATTCTATAAGAAACGTTTATAATTTATTTTTATTAATTGAAAATTTTGAAATGCATTAAAAATATATATATGAGTGTGTGTGACATAAACAATATATAAAACTTTATTATATAAAACAATATATTTTGAGTTAAATAAATAATAATTATGTTATTATATTTTAATTAATGGGAATGTTGTAATGTAATTTTTTTTATTGAAAGGCACATTCAAGTTCAATCCCCAAAATATCCAAAAACTCAAGCAATTGGTACTGAACCGCTGGAATCCGGTTCATCCGCCGCCGGTCCACATCTCCACCTTCACGGTGGCGATGGCGTACACATGGGTCTGTACTGCCGTGGCCGATGGCTCACCCCACGATGGGGAGATATCCTTCGGATTGTCGGTGGACGCACGGCGGTGGTTAGACCCACCAGTGCCGGCGAACTACTTCGGGAACTGTCTGGTCGGCAGGACCACCGACCAAGAAAAAGCCAAGTTGGTGGGGGAAAACGGTCTGGTCACGGCGGTGGAGGGCATATCAAAGGCGATTAAAAGCTTGGAAGAGAACGGAGCTCTGGACGGCGCCGAACAGTGGGTTTCGATGTTAACACAGGTTGCTGGGAGCAATCGGAAGATGCTTACCACCGCCGGATCGCCGAGATTTGAGCTGTACAGCGTGGACTTCGGGTGGGGGACGCCAGCAAAGGTGGAAGTTGTGTCGATCGATGGAACCGGAGCCGTTTCTGTCTGCGACGGCCGAGACGGCGGAGTGGAACTAGGGTGGGTAGCGAAGAAAGATGTTATGGAGGCTTTTGCTGCGGCTTTTGCAAAGGGCCTTAAAGAGCTTTAAAGCTGGCGGTAAATAAGGAATATATATATGGTTCAATAAGTTAAGATAGCGTAACATTTCTCGATGTGGGATGTTTGAATCTTCATCATGCTCAAAGTAAAAATTTTGTTTTGTTTTGTTTTTATTCATGATATGTGTCTCGATCGAGCCTCATAAATTACAATGCAACAGAAAGCAATGGATAAAAAATCAACTCCGTGTTGGTTCTAATATTTGTTTGAGATTTGAATCACTTCACAACCAAAATTAATAATGTAAAGTTTGAATGATTTTAAACCTGCAATGTAAACTTATCATTCTACTGCTTCCTTAAGTGAGTTCTATCTATTTTTGCCATGCATCGGGTGCAATGAGAAATCTCGATGTTTTGTACATATATATTTATATGTACAAAATCTTAGGCTATTCGAAAAATTTGGCACAATGGATATATAAAGCTGGGAATAGTCCGTAGTCAGGGACAATACAGCTTAAAATTTTGGATGCCTTAGTTTTCTACTTGATTTTATTACCTGCTCCACAGAACTTGAATGGTTATAACATGGCATGTAGTTAAGGTTTTATGACAATTTATTTGCGGGAAGGGGCTATAATGAATTGGGGAAGTGATGAAATCACTTAAGTCTCTACGTGATGCTTCCAATTTTGTTAATGAGGACAATCAGAGTTTAGTATGTAAGTTCTGGCAATCATTGATGTACAAACTGTTGGCAAAGTAATTCTTATAGTTCTATTGATTCAATAGGATGCTGCTATTTTATGCTATCTTAAGCTAAGCTAAGCGGGTTGGTTTATCCACCTCCTAATATGAAATTGTATCCATCTTTGCAGACATACACCGTTGCAGATAATCCACATGGTTGGAAATTTCTTTCGGATATGGTCGATCTATTCCATGTATCGATATTTTTCTCAGACTGGAGCTTCCGTTGTACTTTTTCTGTTTTGTTGTTTGGCCCCAGCAGCCATCATATTCTTGAGTTTGCAAAAACCTTGGAGGGGAAAGCCCCTATCAAATACTCAGGTGAAGCGGAACATTTAGCTGTAAGAGCCAAATGTTTACAGCTTCCTCATATTATTTCATCAGTTTCTTATTACATCTAACTTGCTCTTTTAGGTAGTTCCTTCTGTGATAAATGGTGGCATAACAGCCTTGTACTCTATCTTGTGGGGAAAGGGTCTTAAAACCTGTGGACCTCTGAGGTGGGTTACCTTTGATTATGTATACCCCTTGCTCTTTCTTCTTGGCTCTGACTCTAACGATCAGACAGAACAGGACCAGACAGAACTAGTGTTGGGTTTGAAGGAAATGGCAATTCCCATCTTCGCTGGAATTTTATCAGCTTTGAGAAGGGTCATTCCTTTTGACATCTAAGTTAGCATTCTGATATGTGATTATTTTTCAATGCACCCTCAGAACCAACTTAAAAGACGACTTCATGCTATAACAATGGCTTCTACGACTTGTTTTCTCTTTCCTTTAGCTATGTGGGACATGATAATTGTAAGATTCAGCAATATTTCATGAATGTTCTTTCTAAGTCCTGAATTAGCTGCATGATTTTTCTTTATTTTCATAACTTCAGGGATCAAGTTTGTCATCACTTCCAACTTGATTTATGTATGTTCATATCACGCTTAGGTATATTTTGTTTTCATGTTCTATAACTTAAATTATTGCATCATATTTCAAACTTGAGAAATGATATCTCATTGATCTCAACATCATCACCCCTTAAAACAATTTGGTGTCTGCAGTAATCAGAAGATGGTGGCTCATTGTTACAACTGTTATTAGGCGGAAAATTTTGTCATGCAACTGGACCCATTGGCCTCAAGCAGCCCCATTTCTTCTGGAGACTGTATCCTTAGCCTCAAATTTATGTGTTTTTATCGCTAATTTGTACTTCAAAATGATCTGATCTGAGAGCAATCATAATTTTCATATGGTGCAATTTCTTTGTAATTATTGTTTAAGAAAATTCTTTTTGCTGCTTTGTGCACCATTTCTGATTTCCTTACTGATTCCTTCAGTCCCATTTTCATGGCTTTTCATGTCACGTCTCAGTTCCACTCTCATCTTTGCACGCAAGAAAGAGCTATGTAAACGGAAATCTCTATTTCTTCTGTTTTCTTCTATCGATAAGAAAAGGTTATGCTAAACTCTATAAGCATTCTATAGTAATTACATTTAACACTTGATTGATATTAATAGGTACGAGTGATTTTAATCATCTGCAATTGTTATGAATGATTAGATTGTTCGTACCTTCTAAACTGACAAAACGAAATTGATTAAGTTGTATCTCATCTTATTAATCTTGTCTTAGTTATTCGGTCGTTAATGCTATTGTTGAATTATTATGAAAAGTTAGTCCTGCTTGGTTAGAATCTAAACGGTTTAGGGTTTAGGGTTTTTTTTTTTAGGGTTTTTTTTTTAATTTTTTTTTATCGTGTCTTGCTTTATCTAACTAATTATAATAATTTATTGTACTGTAGTTTAAAGTTTAAATGTAACGGTTCAAAAGAAATATATAGATTTTTTTTTGTTAATGTAAAGCACAATTTATGTGTCAATAACCAAATTAAAATATAAATAAATAATTAATCTATAATTGTAAATGTAACGATTTGCTTCTCGAGGGGTTGCCCTTATTGACGCCGAATAAGGAAAAAAATGCGTAAAATTTAAAACATTTAAACGTGTGCATGCATGTTGAAAATTCAAATAAAATAATAATGAGAAGTTCATTTATATAAAACAAAAGATGGATGGAGATAGCCAAAATACACTAGAACCAGTCTAATTGGATCTGATCAGTTAGACCAAACCAAATTGGGTTAGGTTAGACTAGGACGACCTTCTTCTTCCTAGATTGTCTTGTATGCTTTACCACTTGTATCTCTTATCTCGAGCTTTAGATGAACTTACTTTCTTCAATAAAGTTGTGGTACAGTTACATTTATGGACACCAAACGTCTCTCTCCTTGCTTCTTTTGTCGCTCGTATCTTGTTCTAGGGTTTAGATGAATCTGTTTCTTTCAACAAGATTGTTGTACTCCTGAAGTGGAATCCATAGACACCAAAATCACAAGGAGCTTGCCTAAACCCCTAAAATTAAGACTCCAAGTTTGGAGGATACATGCTAGCTAAAACGCTACAAATTTGCTCGAACCAAAAATCCATCTCTTTTTGTCTTTTTTTTTTAATTTTTTTTTTCATTTACTTATTTACATATTATTATTATTATTATTATTAGGAACTATAGTAAATTAGCTAGTTTAAATATAAATTCGTATAATTTACTTAAAAAATAAACATATTTCACTTAACCCTAAACAAAAAGAAAATGGTAAAATTTAAAATGGCTGTAATTAATTGTATTCTCCAACTACTCTAAGCCAGCTATTTTCGGTAAAAAGAAGAAAAAAAAAAAAAAAAAGACAAAAAGACAAAAAACACCTCTCAACGGCGTCGTTTCGACCGGTCGTCGCCCGTTTACTCTCGCAGTATATAGGAAACCCACCAACACCGTAGCGACTTTCTCCCCTCCGGTGGCTCAAAGCTCCAGCTTTCCTCATCTTTCTTTGGGGTTCCTTCAGGTTAATCTCTTTATCCCTTTTATCACTCTAATCTGTTCTTCGTCTATTTTTATCATATCCAGATCGAAATTTCTTTGAATTCTTCGAGTTTTAGCTGATGAATTTTCGGTTTCTATTCCCTTGGCTGCTGTGTGCCTTTCCTATTTTTGGTCCACCCTTCCTTCGTTTTTCCCGGATCTGGACGCTTCTTAGCAATCCATACCCCCAATTCTATATATCCGATGCTTTGATCTTTGTTTTGTGTTCGTCCTCGTTACGGAAAGGAAAGATCAACTCGCGTTTAGCTTGATTCTGAAAAGAGGTTGTCCGATCTTGTTCTATGTCTAGATCTCAGATCTGTTTCTGGTTGGGCAAATTTTACCTGAAATGTTATGGCACTTGATTTTATTTTGAATTAGAGATATTTGGATCTGTTGCTTGGCTATACGATCTGCTACCCTTTGGTATAATTAGGGTATTTTGAGGTTGGATAGATTTAAGTTATTGTTTGTGGTTGGTGATTTATGCAGGCGTTTCTTCTGTGGATCTGCCAGTTTGAAAGATGAATCAATTCATTTTTCAGCAGAACACCTTTTATTCATGTGAAGAGACAAGGGGGTATGCCTCTATCTCTGATCTGAAGAACCCTGTTGTGTGTCCCAAGCCCAGGCGGCTTGCAATTCTTGCTAACAATCACATTAAACACCCCTTGAAATGGCACCAAGCTGAGGCTTGTGATTCAAAAGCTGGGGCAGACCTTCTAGACATCATTTTAAACAAGGTTAGCTCTCACTCCCCTGATTCAACTTGAGTTCTTTACATGATCTACTAATGAATGTCATTATAATGTGATTTGAATGTCGATAGGGGTCGGAACAATCTAGCATCAATGTGGCGTCATCACCTCCGTTTTATTGCGGGTCTCCGCCGAGCAGGGCTTCCAATCCATTAATCCAGGATGCGCGGTTTAGAGATGAGAAACTCAGTAGTCCTATGCCAGTATTGGCTGCAGCAGCATATTCCCCATTGAGTCTCTCATCGCCATCATCGGCGGGGTCACACAAAGGGGGAGGAGGAGGGTGTGCGAGAATGACGTTCGGTCTTAAACCGGCTGCGGTTAGAGTAGAAGGATTTGATTGCCTGAGTAGGGACCGGCAGAATTCAAGGATCCCTGCAGTTGCTTGAAAACCAACCTCCATGAATGGAAGTGTAAATAGAGAATGGAGAGTGGCAACAGAGTTTTCAACCACAGGCAAGACAACACTACTTTTGTAACAAGCAGAGGAAACAATATTTCACGATAGAGATGCATGAGAATTTGAGATCATCCACATCTCCTAAGTGTAGTGTAAATGTAACAAAATGTTGTTCTGTTCTTGGTGATCATCCAAATTTGATTTTTTTTCTTTTTTTCTTTTGGTTTCTTTAAGGTAGCTTTGTGGGACAAACAAACCTTATGTTGTAGAGAAAAGGTTTGGTTGGATCTATGAGTTAATGTATAGAGTTTTTTTTTTTTTTTTTTTTTTTTTTTTTTTTTTTTTTTTTTTTTTTTTTTTTTTTTTTTTTTTTTTTTTTTTTTTTNTTTTTTTTTTTTTTTTTTTGGATTTTGGATTTTGGATTATTTGCCATGTAAATGTTTATGGTCATTATTTATCCTATCACCTCTTTATTGAGCATGTGTCTGCCTTGGGGATCGGGATGGATAGGTGTTGTGTGTCTATCTTTTTGTCTTTGTACATGGGGTCGGGGTCACTGCCCGCTGTTAGGTTGTGACATTCTTCATTGCTAAAACTAATTTGTTCTCTCGTTGAGGAGAACGAAGTATTTCTTACCTCCTCCTCTCTCTCTCTCTCTCTCTCGAGATTGATGTATATACATCATGGACAAAGTAGATAATATATTTATATTGTCAGGCTATTGATCATAAAAGGCGGCTGGCCAATAAAATTCATTTGGTCCACATTTTTTTTCCTACTTTTTTCTCAAAATAAATATAGTGCCACGTGGAAAGTTCCATTATCATTAGTGGTACCATGAAAATAAACTTTGGGCTACAGACTTCCAAGTGTTTGATAAATCAGAAGCCCAATAACTATTGAGGCCCAACAATGTTAATTAAGGCCCAATCCTATACTATCTCTTGAATTAACAATATCAGTAAAGATTGTATATATATATATATATATGAATATAGAATTTCTTATTTTAGTTTTATATTTTATTTGCTTTTTAAATATGAAATGTACATTAAAATTATTTGAGATTTCTACATAATTAATAATTGGTAATTGAATGAAAAAAAATAATAAATAAATAAAAAAAAAAAGAAGATTAGGCAAAGGTAGGTGAGAGAAAAATATAAATGCGAAATTGGTTGGAGAAAATAGTTGGATTAGGGGTAAGGAGGCGCCCATAGTCACAACAAAACCAGAAACCGGTAACCAGAAATGGGATTCAAAATTCCGGATTTCCCAAAAACCAGGAGCCCCATTAACGTGACGGTTTGCCACGACATTCTGGGAGCGTAAACTTCACGCGCTCTTCGTACACCGTTCTAGAAACATTCCCTGCATGAACGGCACATCTCTCTCTTCTTCTTCCATTTTCTGCCACGTGTCCTTCTTTTTCCTGCTCCATGCACCACTTGCTAATTTCAGCAAAAAACCAGATGGAAATTATTATTATTATTTTTTTTTTGTGGATTTAAAATTCCAATTGTCCACTGTTTTCATTTTTTTAAGATAATATTTATACTTATTTATTTATTTGAGTTGAAATATGTATATTTATTTAATTGTTTTGCGTTTAAAATAAAATAAAATCCATCTGCATTAAATACCCTTCAAAATGAGACGCTTATGGACAAATAAAGAAAGATCTACAAAAAGTAAATAACTCGAATGATTTTATTAATTATTTTTGTCTGTTTCCTGACCAATTTCTAATTCCAAAGCCATTACTTTTATATTTTCTTGCATTTATTTTAGTTTATTAAGTAAATGTAAGATGCCTAAAGTATTTTTATGATTTTTTTTTTTAATGTTCTTGCATAATTACAACGTGTTTCTGTCACATTCCAAGTTTAAAATACTTGGAATTTAAAATTACATTTATTTAAAAGCATACCAAGTTTAAAATAAAAATATTTGAAATTCAATTACCAATGGTAGCAAATTATTATGAACAAAGAATAAAGCAAATAAAAAAGGGGAAAAAAATATCCAGGTTTATTAATAAATACAATTTAAGATCTGAAAAAGAAAGATTCCCTCTGAAATAAAAGTCGGAGGAGGGTGTGTTCACGTGAGCGCCACAATTAGCTAATCCAAATCAAAAGCTAAGAGAAATTATGATAATTATTTGAGGATAAATCCCAAATTAATTCAAATTAGAAAAAGCAGCACGCCTCTTTTATTTTATTTATTTTTAAATTAAAAAATAAAATTAAATTTGAAAACCGTTGGCTACGGGGTTTTTGTTGAGCGCCCACAGTCCTGAAAAAAACCGGCTACTGGTTTTGCTTCAAAAACCACTTTTCTCCAATCTTCCTGAAAACCGGGAGATTTTTTTATTTTATTTTATTTTATTTTATTTTTTAAAATTTAAATACAGGGGCGCTGTGTGGGGCCCGGTTTATTCCACGTTATGTGGCAATTCGACCATATTTTTGACATCCTGAAAGTATTCCCCACGCGCCTATATCTGCTTTTCGGATTTTCCTTTTTTCTTTTTTTTTTTTTGCATTATTTCCACGTTTCAGCTTCAAGAAAAATAGTTCTTAAATTACGACTTTACCCTCGTAAGGTCCATCGGAGAGGCAGTTTTTGTCCCTTTGTTTTGGTCGGATCTTGTTGAAGTTTTGAGTTGATTAATTGAAACGTATATATAATTTTTAACTATATTGATAAAAGGAAATTGGATAAAGCGAGTGGTCTCACGTAGAGGAAAAGCGCGTGGGGAAAGAAAAGGAGGTATATTTTATGTGAAGGTGAACGGATTTGGCTGCTGGTAGGTAGAGCAGGTCATGGAAAAGTGGGTTCAAAATGGAAGCTCCCGGAGTATGGAAACCAGTCTTTTTAAAAGTCTTTTTTTTTTTTTTTTTTTTAATTTTTAAAATAATTATATATTAATCTAAATCTGCGTGCCCCAGTTTTCCCTGAAAGCCCCACCGGCTCGCAGATTAATATTAGTTTCCCTCTTAAATATCCTCCGGGACTTTTCTTCAATCCTCAGAACTATTTCCACCTTATCTTCTTCCTCACTTCTCCCTCTATTCATTCTTCGGATTTTATGATTTCCTTCTGTCATTGCGGTTGCTAAAAATGCGGATGAGTTGTAATGGTTGCAGAGTTCTTCGCAAAGGTTGTAGTGAAAATTGCAGTATTCGACCTTGTTTGCAGTGGATCAAGAGTCCTGAATCTCAGGCTAACGCTACTGTTTTTCTTGCTAAGTTTTACGGCCGTGCTGGACTCATGAATCTTATCAACGCTGGTCCTGAGCATCTACGGCCTGGTGAGTTCTGTTTCTTGAATTTTGTTGGTTGATGGTTGCTGATTTTGTGCATTTTGATTGAAATTTGTGTTCGGTTCGATTTTGTAGCGATCTTTAGATCTCTTCTCTATGAGGCTTGTGGACGGATTGTGAATCCGATTTACGGATCGGTTGGATTGTTGTGGTCTAGTAATTGGCATCTCTGTCAGGCGGCTGTTGAGGCGGTGCTTAAAGGCGCTCCGATTATTCCGATTAATTTTGAGGCGGCCGCGACTGGCGATGGGCCGCCGTTGAAGGCTTACGACATTCGTCATATTTCGAAGGATGAAAACTCCGCCGCCTCCAACGATGGTGGAGCGAACCGGCGAGTCAGGACTCGGTGCCGTTTTAAGCGATCGGCCGTGAAGGATAAAGAGAGTACTGGAATCGTATCTGCCGTAGCGGAGTCGACTCGGCGACTGTTCACCTCGACAGAGATTAACCGTTCGTCGAGCGGCGAGTCGTCGCTGAGTCACCAATCAGACTCGCCGCATCTCGAACATGAGAGCAAAGAAACCGAGAGCATGATCTCGGTGGAGACGGCGGATGTTTCTCCTCTTTCGCCGTCGTCAGCTTTTTTCAGATCGGGATCCAGTCACGTACAAAGGAAGTTCACCAACCACGACGGCGGCAGGATGACAATTCCGGAAAGCGAATTAGCTCTAGAACTTACCCTGGGGATGGAGCCGGTATCACGTGCCCAACACGTGGTTCCAATGAAGAAGCGAAAGATAGAGGCCGACGGTGGGTTGAGGCCCAATAAGGAAACGTGCAATACGGTTTTGGGCCTGGATTTTGCAGCCGGAAACTAGGCCTGATAATGAGCCCACATATTGAAAAAAAACATAAAAACAAAACAAAAAAGCGAATAAGCGAATAAAAGAGGACAATTTTGACGGCGGGAATTGACTATCTGCGGTGGCATAGAAGAGATCTCGACCATTTGTTTGTTTGTGTTTTTATATTTTTTTTTTGGTTTTGTTGAATTACTGTTTTGACCCTATCTCTTTCCCCTTTTGTAATGAGACGCGATGTGTATAAGAAAAGGAATATATATACGTGGTCGCAATGTGTATATTTAAATGTAAGTCTTGTAAAAATGCAACAGGAGGCGAAAAGGTTCTTAGTTCTTGATTATTGATCTTTAATCTCCCTTTTTTTTTTTTTTTTTTTTTTTTT